CGGAGCAGCTGGCAAACCGACGACTCGCAAGATGCATGTTGCACTTGTGCCGAGATTACGCATGAGCTGCTTGAGATTCGCACCTACGTTGTTGTGGCCTCGTTCGCACGATGTCGAGGCGCGACATTTTCCAGAAGATGAGCATGGCGGAGGCAGCCCGATGCCAGGGTAGCGGGTGGGCTGTTGTTTCGCGGAAACACTTGGCCGGAAAGTCGCGCGGCTAGGGCAAGATGCCAAAGGCCTTTTCGCGATACAAAGTCATGCGATAGAGATGGTGCCCATGCAGGAGTCCAAGATGCTGACACCTGCAATGCAGGACTGCTTCTTCAGAGCACCTGCGCAGAACTCCTCAAAGCGTGTTTGTTGATGCACGTCATCGCTCGTCTTTGCTTGTCCTTGCCTTCGTTTAATCCCTTGTCACTTCTCTTCTGCTCGGGGCACTGGACAAATCATCTAGCTGGATAAACTGCTCGCCGTGTGAGGAGCCAACGCTGCTCCAGCAAGCAGGCACGCCTTGCGGCCATGCTCCATGTATAGAGCTCCTCTATGTTCTGGTGGTGTGGTTTGCGTCTCCAGCCGTCAAGGTACGAACAGCCAAGTTGCTGCTGGCACATCGGGTGCAGCTTGCTTGCCGGGTGCTCGGGTCGCCCACTCCAAGCGTTTCCTTATCAGCGCTCCTAGACCACTCGGCGCTCCAACCCAATTAACTTGCGGTTTGCAATGCCTTGGCAGCACCCCGGCCGGAGGATGCCTCCTAGACCTGTTCAATCCTTCGGGTCTGCCGTTTCGAACTCATCCACTCAACCATGCGCAAATAGTTGGGAGCCTTGACTGGCTTGTGACATGTGCATTCTCGGCTGTTACTACGAAGCACATGTCATCGCGCATTTGTGCCGGATTTCATTTCAGTGCATGATTGGCGAGGGTCTTAGAACTCCAAAACCACCAAGATTTATCGATTGCCATGTGACGTCCAACCGCAACGTTTCGCACACCCTAACGGGGCTGAGCGCGATCGCGCTCGTGTGTTTTGTGTGTCTTTAAGTGTGTGTGTGTGTACCGCAGTAGTGAACCAAAAAGCTCGAACGTTTGTGCAGTGACAGATTCGACCCATGAAGCAGCACATGCCTCCATACTTACATGGAGCGCAGGGGGCCGGTGTCAACGAATATGCCCGTCATACCCATGCGTCGGCTTTTACATGACATGCTAGTTGTTACCTGTGGGGAACCTGAGCGATTGAACTAATCTGACAATGCGGGACACGGCAATCCGGATACTTTTCTTTCCATTCGGCCGACACGCATGTTGTTCTATCCAACAGACGAGAGAGAAAAGAGCTGCAGGCAGCATGCATGCAGTCACCAGTTGATTAACTTGAAGGTGAGCGTGCGTGTATGCATGTATGTGTATATATATATATATAAGTGTGTATAGATATCTATACCTATGTATGTATGTATGTATGTATGTATGTATGCATGTATGTATGTAGGTATACGTGCATACAGACACATACTCACGTGTACACACACACACACGCAATATATATATATATATGTATACACATACACACACAGATATATATATATGTATATATATATATATCTGTATGTATGTATACGTAGATTTTTGTTTCGATTATATTTCAGGCTATGTTTGGTTCCATTAGATTCAGCAATCCACTTCATTCATTCCATCCGTTCCATCAATTCCATCATTCCTCTATGACTGTAGGAGAGGGTGTCAGAAATTGTGAAGAGTGAAAGAGTGAAGTGATCGGTGGGTGCTTTAAGACTTGCGCAAAACATGTCCGATCCATCGGTGGGAGAAGAGTGAATATTGTGCACTTGATTCGTCAGCAAAAGAGTGAGGTGACTGATCTTTGCGGAGTGCATGGGGTTGTGCCGGGGCCACACTTCACTCTCCACTCGATTTTAATTCCTTTTTCACTGCCTGGCCCTCGGACGGGTAGGCCAGCGGGAAGAGTGAAAAACAAGCATGGACAAAGAGTGAACAATGATTCAACAACGGGTGAACAATGAGTGAACAGAGAGTGAATCTGGGGAAGGGTCTGGGCCCTGGCAGGCCGCACGAATCGGTCGTCGGTTAAACACAAAAAAACAATTCCACCGTTTCCACTCGCTCCATTCATTCCATTCAGTCCGCTCATTCCGTTCATTCCGTGCAGTCCGTGCATTCCATTTATTCCATTCATTCCGCTGTTCCATTCGTTTCCATTCATTCAATTTCGGTCCATTCCCTTCGTTCCATGCATTTCCATGCACTCCGTCCATCCACCCACCCATCCATGCATCCATCCATCCATCCTTCCATCCCTCCCTCAATCCCTCCCTCCCTCCCTCCCTCCCTCCCACCCACCCTCCCTCCATCCATCCATCATTCTTTTCCTCACATGCTTCATTCATTGTTGTTGTAAGCGGAGGTGGGGTGGTGGAGGCATGTTGGTGCACCAAGGTCGCCGGAGCAGCTGGCAAACCGACGACTTGCGAGATGCATGTTGCGCCTGTGCCGAGATTATGCGTGCTTCTAACAAGTTGCACCTGGCCAAAGGCAAGAGCTGCTTCAGATTCGCACTTGCTTCTTGTGGTCTTGTCAGTGCGAAGTCGAGGCACGATATTTTCCAGAAGCTGAGCATCGCGGAGGCAGCCAAATGCCAGGATGAAGGGCGAGCTGTTGTTTTGCGCTGGTACACTTGGCCAGCAGAGTCGCACGGCTTGTGCACGATGCTAAAGGTCTTTTCGCAATACATAGGCACTAAGAATACAAATGCATGCAGTAGATTGTGCCCAGGGGCCCAAGATGCTGAAAACTGCAACGCAGGACTGCTGGCTTCCAATAGATGGTTTGGCGGCATACTGTTACTTCATTCCGAGAGGCACTAACAAGTTAGAACTATAGAAGTTCTTCAGAGCACATGGGCTCCTCATGATGCACGCGATCGCTCGTCTTTGCTTGTCCTTGCCTTCGTTTAATCCCTTGTCACTTCTCTTCTGCTCGGGGCACTGGACAAATCATCTAGCTGGATGAACTGCTGGCCGTGTGAGGAGCCAACGCTGCTCCAGCAAGCAGGCACGCCTTGCGGCCATGCTCCATGTATAGAGCTCCTCTATGTTCTGGTGGTGTGGTTTGCGTCTCCAGCCGTCAAGGTACGAACAGCCAAGTTGCTGCTGGCACATCGGGTGCAGCTTGCTTGCCGGGTGCTCGGGTCGCCCACTCCAAGCGTTTCCTTATCAGCGCTCCTAGACCACTCGGCACTCCAACCCAATTAACTTGCGATTTGCAATGCCTTGGCAGCACCCCGGCCGGAGGATGCCTCCTAGACCTGTTCAATCCTTCGGGTCTGCCGTTTCGAACTCATCCACGCAACCATGCGCAAATAGTTGGGAGCCTTGACTGGCTTGTGACATGTGCGAGACTGCATGGAGAGTGCAATTCCTCGGTAGATTGAAGAAGAAGAACCAGCCATGATCATTACTCTCGGTTCTTACTATGGAGTGCATGTCATCGCACGTTTTGCAGAATCTTATTTCAGTGCTGGAGATCTTAGCACTCCAAAACGCCGATTTGGCGGGTTTTGTTTGCGTTGTCTTCTCATTATTGAGAGCGCGGAGATGTCTATCCGTCCGTGCGTGCGTGAGTGCACGTGCGCGTGCACGCGCGCGTTTGTCGGGACAGTGACTGCTGGTGCTCCCAAATGCGGCATCCACTAGTCAACAACAAGTGACTACTCGTGTCTACGACTCTACAACGTGTGACGTCTTGTGTCTACGACTCTACAACAAGTGACTACGACTTTACAACAAGTGACTACGACTCTACAACTTGTGATCCCAGTGTTTCGCAGCCATCAAGAAACGGGCAGATTAGGGAGGGCTGCGCCTTTTGCCTGCAAGCTCCCTCTCTGACCCAACAACGAAGCTGTGGTGTTGGGGGGCTGCGGCTTTGCCTGCGAACCCCACACCGAAGAAACGATAACATGGCAATGTTGGGAGGGCTGCGGCTTTGCCTGCGAACTCCCACATTGACCAAAAGATGACATGGCAGTGTCGGGGGGGCTGCAGCTTTGCCTGCGAGCTCCCACGCTGACCATGTCATCATCCCAAGACATTCACCAAAAGATGAAATGGCAGTGTTGGGAGGGCTGCGGCTTTGCCTGCGAACTCCCACACTGACCATTTCATCATCCAAAGACTTTAAGTGCTTCCGTCTTCTCTCTCCCTCCCTTTCCCTTTCTCTCTCTCCTTAATCCTTATACCCTAAACGCCAGGTGAAGACGCAGTGCCACCCCTTCATGGGGCAGCTGTGTGTGTGTGAATCCCTGAGGCCAAGGGCACGTTTGACAGTGCAGGGGGGCAGTGAGCCTTCTATCATCCACTGCCCAACGAAGACGGTGATAGAGGTGCTGTGAAGCAATCTGGGACGCCAGATTGTGTGCCTGCAAAAGGCCGCCCGAATACACCCCAGAAAGAGCTGTTGTTTCAAACATTGGCCAAGACATGAAGTGAAAGAGCTGAAGCTGCTCAGTGCATTGCTTGCAATGATTGAAGTAGGCTGCGAGTGTAGGAATACGTGCTACCCCATGTTTGGCTTCGGCCACTCGAGAGTCAAATCAAGTGTGTGTGTGTGTGTGTTTGTGTGTGTGTGTGTGTTCGTGTGTGCAGGACCTGTTCAATACCAGTACATGGGTACAAGAAACCATTTCTGGGCGGCCTACATAAAATCTTACTCTTGAACCCGCTCGACCTTGGTTCGGTAGATTTCGGGGCTTGGGTTGACTGTGGACTTCAGTAGAGGGGAATAGGCGGGCTCGGTAGGTTTCGGGGGGCGGGGGGGAATGGGGGGGGTTGGGGTCTAGGTGGGCTAAAGCAAAAAGGGTTGAGGGGGGTCAGTTTGTTTCGGGGCGCAGTAGAAGGTTTAAGGAGGGAAGATTGTCGCTACCTGCTTCATGCTTATGTTTCTGTCACTCCTCCGGTTGCATCCCTCGTTAAACGAGAAGGCCCTGCTGTTGAGGTGTGTTCGCTGGCACACAATCCAAGCCCATGCTGAAAGGAGGGTTCGATAGATGGGCTCAGGAGGGTTTGGTAGGTTTGGGAGAGCTTGGGGTCCAGGTGGGCTTAGCGAGAAAGGAAATAGTAGGGTTCGGTAGGTTTCATGGATACATAAGTAGGATAATGTGTGTGTTTGTGTTTTTTTGGTAGTGTTTTCGGCTTTTCAGCAGGGAAAGGATGGAGGACACAAAGGATTGAAGGCGGAAAGAAAGAACAAAGGGAACACACGAGCGCAGGAAAGAAAGAGCGAACAACACTAAGGGATGGACGTGGAAGAAGGCAGCGCAAGAGGACAATTAATGAAGAACGACAGAAAGAAATAAGTAACGATATACATAAAAAAGGAACTAAATAACGACATAACGAAAGAGAGCCAGAGATTCCAAAGCGGAAGCAAGGCAACAAACAAAGATAGCCGTACATCAACAAAGAAGCCACGGCACAAGCAAGGGCAAACAGACATCTAAATGGGAAGCAAGAAAACAACGAAGGGATGCACAGGAGCAAGCAGGAAAGTTCAGAACGGAAGAGGGGAAGAAAGAAGCAAATAGGGAAGGACATGCCAGGCAAACAGCAGCAGGGAAGAAGGGAAGAAGGAGACACAGACGAAAGGACACAGATGCAGGATAAGAAGAATCACCTGCAATTAGCGGAAAGGACAGAAGAAGGTAAGAAACCAAGACATAAAGCAAAACCGCAAGAAAGCACCTGGCTAGCTAGAAGGAGCATCGTGCTATCACACAGGCATTGTGGCCTAACCCAGCTTTTTTTAAAGCTGTGCGGGTTTGCTTTCAAGAACATCGTGCAATCAAGCAGAATTGCGCCAAGCACATAATCTTATATAACTGTTCAAAGCGCATCATACCGGCATTCTGTTTGCAAATGTGGGCGGCTTCGTGCGCCTCGCCCCCCCTCCCACCCCCAACCCAGCGAGTTTTTCAAAAGTACAAGCTTGCTTTGAGGAGCATCGTACGATCAAGACAGAACCTACCATGTTCATTGAAGCAAGCCGTGCGGGGGCGCAGCCTTCCCGCCCCCCGCCAGCCATCCCCACCCCCCTCACCCCCCTACCCCCCCCCCCCTGTTTTTTGCTTCGNNCCCCCCCCCCCCCCCCCCCCCCTGTTTTTTGCTTCGGGGCTCCGTTGGATTTGCTAATTACGCAGTCATGCTGGGCAAACACAAGGATCTGTTGGGAAAGAGTTCGCACGGGTTGTGTTTTGTTGGGACCATGTTCCTTTTCGCAAGCTCGCGCGGCTTGGAAAAGGGAGGGGCGCGGCCTCCCCCCCCAAACACAAGGCGTATAGGGTTCTGAAAGCTTTCCGAACCCATCATTGTGTGTGCCAATGAGGGGACATTATCCATGTTGTGATTTGTGTTAGTCTTGCCAGTGCCATTATTGTACCATTGTCTTTTTTTCTATTCTTTCTCGTTGCTATTGTTATTTCTAGCAGCTAGCATTATTATGTTCACCGCCTTTATTCTGGTCCTGTGCTTATAGCCTTCACTGTTGTGATGTTTTGTTACCATTGCTACTGTTATCATTGTTTGTACTTTTGGCAGCATGGCAATTATCGTCACTATTCTGTGGTTGTTATTGTTGTTGTAAAATCATTACTAGTGCAATTATTACTCTTCTTGCTGTTATCACTTTTGACACTTTGTACGTTTGGTAGTATGTCTACCAGTATCATAGCTAGTAGTATTCGTACTACCATTAGTGCAGTGCATGTCGTATTCGTGATTATTCTGATTATTGTTGGGACTAGTAGCCTACATTGCGAAGTTCATTTGCCGCAAGCATAAGCCTGCGAATTGTAGCCATGGAAATGCCAATGCGATCCTATTCCGAAACTGTCAAGATCCACCGAATTGCAGCAAAACCATCAGAACCCTATCAAGTGTTACGAAAAGCTGATTGAATCGACCAGGTTCTTTAGAGCATTTGGGATCCGAAAAGGTCGGAACGCCCGCAAACAACACAAATGCACAGACAAAACCAACAAAAAGATGCAAAGAAGAACCCCGTGAAGAAAGCGAGGACATTCAGGAGCATCGAGTAGTGGTCCGAGACCCACTTGATAAGCAACAAACAAAATCCCGACAACATAGAACCAACAAGTTGTCAAAACAAATCCTCGCTCCTACATGCATACATGCAACTCGTTGCAACTACATATACATCTGTACATACATGCATGCATGCATGCATGCATGCATGCATGCATGCATGCATGCATACATACATGTGAACATGTAGCGAACACGCCGCATGACGTTTATGACGGGTTTCTGTCGGAGGGGGTGGTGGAGGCCTGTTGGTGCGCCAAGGTCGCCGGAGCAGCTGGCAAACCGACGACTCGCGAGATGCATGTTGCACCTGTGCCGAGATCATGCGTGCTTCTGACAGGTTGCACCTGGTCAAACGCAAGAGCTTCTTCCGATTCGCACCTACGTGTTGCGGGCTTGTTCGTGCGAAGTCGAGGCGCGACATTTTCCAAAAGATGAGCATCGCGGAGGCACCTTGTTGGCCAATGTCGCGAGGTGAGTGTCTTCAATTTGCTTGCGTGGTTTCGTCACGTCAGTCATCTTCACTCATTCGGGCTGCTGACACAGCACCAGGCTGAAACAGCATCTTTTCAGCTGGTCTCTCGGTGCTTCGGTGTCTTGCTTGCGAGTGCAAGTTGTGTCAGGCTTCGCATGGTTGGGGCAGGTTCTAGTCAACCCTCAATACCGGCACATCCAAGAGGTCCGAAGCACGGTTGGAGCTGGAGAACCGGCGGATTGCCAAGCACATTCTGTGTTCGTCTCAGCAGATTGATGGCACATGAGTATGTGCGATCGCACACACATTGCCAACAAAGTGTGTCCTAGTTGGTTGCAAGAATCCGCCAAGGCGAGGCATCCTCCAAAGAATCAGCACAAAGGCCAGCTTGCATGGTAGAAAGTCTTGATGCTCGGAGCATGTCGGAGCCAGCATGCTGGCCATGTCAGGCCAGTATGCTTTGTCGAAAACAGGAGCCGTCGGAGCTGCAACAGCCAGACGCTCCAAGCATGGGCCCTCTGTGATCTGTGCCTGTGACCATTACCGCGTATGCTGTCCACTCGGTAAAGTTCGACTTGGCGTGTATTCCAAGGCCCAGGCCGCGGGCATGTTGGCGTCTTGCCCTGCCCGTACCATGCCGAGATGGGCTGTATAGGGTCGAAACCCGCATGTCCGTCTCTCCTGCAGTGTGGCGCAGGGACAAGCTGCGAACCTGCCACGTCGAATCTTGCGCTGAGGTTGGAGAACACCAACCGCTTGATTGCTAGACATGTGCTGCCGGAGCCACGGTTTGGACTGGGGGAGGGGTGGCGGCATGCTCAGCCTTGCGGGCGAGGCGGTGCGTTCTGCAGAAGCTGTACAGAATAGAGGCCAGGCGTGGGCCAGGCGTGCTTCAGCGTGATGCATTCTTGCGAAGTAATTAGCCTGTTGGCCCAACATGGCTTGTCGTATTCTGACTTGAGGACTTTGCAGCAAACCCAGCGATCTGCCCTGTCCTCAGACTGGGTCTTGAGCATGCTGTGGACTTTGTTTTCTCGGTACAACCAGTCCAACTCCAGCGATCATGGCCGAACGTTGCAAAGACAGTTTGCGAGTCCAGCCCAGATGTGTAGCAGTATGTAGTATGTGGTCTTCAGTTGCAGGGGTGTCCTGTTCACGATGCATGTTTCGGGTCTTAATTTCGTTGGACTCCGGAGCCGGGTCCCTTCCTCCGTGTGTGTTTCAAGCATGCAGCTGCATATTGTTCATATGTATTGTACTGCAGTGGAACTCTGCGGTGACATTTCAGTCCCCTGAGCACTGAGGCGTGGACAGGCGGCAAGCAAAGCGCGCGGTGAAGCTGGTGCTCCCAGGCTTCAGGCCCCTTGAGGCCCTTGAGGCTCCCCATTATATATTATATTATATTATGTTATATTATATTACGTTATGTTATATTATAATATATAGTATATACTATATAATATATAATATATACTAGAAAATATATAAGATATAAGATATAAGATATAATATATAAGATATAAGATATAAGATATAAGATATAATATATAATATATAATTTTTGTATAATATATATTATATATTATGTTATATCCTTTAGGCCTTCTTTTTTGCCTTACCGGTGCACTTGGGAGCACTGAGGCGCAACAGTGCTCTGCTTCGGCACTTGCCGCAGGAGCAGCGCAAGATCCGAAACTGACCAGTCGACGGCTTCCTATAGGGAAGTGTATTTTTTCAGAAATTATTTTCGTTGTTATCTGGGGTATTTTGTTTGTTTTTTTACTTCTGCTGCCGCTCCGGTCTCCCGCGGTCCTCTGGTTCCGTGGTCTTTTGGTCCGCGGTCCTC